GAGATGAGTATGATGGGCATGCAGCGGCGCCAGTCCTCAACTTCCAGATACCCCGCCCAAGCACCTCAACCAATTCCGTCGCCATCACAGCACTCGGTCCATGCCGCCCACCCGTCACATTCTATTGCGTCGTTGCCGCCACCGCAACCGACCGACCCCCGGCTTGCATCCAGAAACGTGCCGGCCTGTAACCTGGATCTGCTTTCAGATGCCGCCACGCACTTGGCATCGGCCGCCGAAATTAGCGTCATGCCACCCATGATGTCGGATCTTGGCCCCTCGTCGTCAACCGGCCCGATCCCGCCCGTCAAGTCTTTTGATACAACGCCACCGCCGTATAATGATCGCAGCCGTGAGGCGCCGGCGTCGCAGGAGGCCATCCCGCCAGCCTACGCCGGCCAGCCGCCTGCCGCGTCGTTTGACGACTACCACTTGTTCCTCGACGACTTTACTTCGTCCTCGCACTTTTTGCCAACAGCACTCGAGTCCGACCAGCCTTTTGGCATGTGGGGCCGTGGTGGCAGCAACAACATGTCCAAGATGGCTGGCTCGTCGTTTCCCTCGACACGGTTCCCATCTGTGCAGCCGGACATGCGCGACATACACTCGGAATCCGGTCCCCAGCGTTCGCAAGACGAAGGTTCGATGCGCGCTCCCGGATGGCGCATTGGACTGGCGGATCACAACACGATCAAGAGCCGCCTCGAAGAGTTCTCGTCGGTTCTGCCTACCGACTTCGTCTGCCCGTCCCGGCACACGCTGACCCGCTTCCTTGAGGGATACATTAGCGGCTTCCACGAGCACCTCCCATTTTTGCATTTGCCGACCCTGTCGCCTGGTGAGCTCTCGCCCGAATTAATTCTGGCCATTCTCGCTGTCGGTGCCCAGTACCGCTTCGAGAGTCACCGTGGCTATGCGCTGTGGTACGCCGCCAAGGCCATTGCGTTTGAGCAGATTCGCCGTCGTCATAGTCATGAGGTGCACAGCCTGCTTCCTACCTCGGCCGCCTACAGCCCACATTCAACACGCCCGTCACCCAGCACGGGCTACCGGCACTCGTTCAACTCGGTGCAACACGACCGTCCCTTGACCCAGGATACACATCGCGAGCCATAGTATGTCGCCCCCACCCCTCTTTTTCTTTTTTTTTTCTTTTCAAATAAATAAAAATAAAATATACTAACCGGCCTTTAGCTCGCCAAACACGCCGCAGGCTCGCCTCGAAACCATCCAGGCTCTCCTGCTCCTGTTTGCCGTCGGCTTGTGGGGCCCCAAGGCCATCCTGCACGAAGCGCTCTCTCTGCAAAGCCAGCTGGCCGTTCTTGTCCGCGAAGAGGGCCTCGAATCCCAGCCGTCCAGCCAGGTGACTGACTGGGACACGTGGATCCGCGTTGAAGGCAGTACGCGCACCAAGCTGATCGCGTTTTGCTTTTTCAATCTATGCAGCGTCGTGTACAACACGCCGCCCCTGCTGCTGACATCCGAGGTCAACCTGGTTCTCCCGCAGCCCTCGCGACTCTGGAGAATGGAAACGGCGTGGCAGTGGCAGGAAGCACGCCAGGCCTATGGCAGTGTCGAGCTGCCTCTGCAGGAGGCCTTTTCGAGAATCCTCAACCGCAACGTCCAGGTGCCGCTCAGTCATGTGACATCACTCGGCAACTACATCTTGATGCACTGCTTCATCCAGCACATTTACCTGCTGAAGCAGACCTCTGTCGGCATTGCCACACCGTACGGCATCCACCGTGGCCTCAAGATTGATGACGTCGAGGAGACTGCGCACGGCTTGCGGCTGTGGCAGATCGGATTCGAGCAGCACCGACAAATGCGCGCCGCCGAGAGTGCCCACCAGCACCAGCAGGCTGGCATGAACCCGGCGGACAACTACCACAGTGGCTCCGTGGCGTTCAACGCGACGGCGCTTTTGCGGCTAGCATACATCCGGCTGTACACGGACCTCAACCCGAGCCGGCGGCTGGAGACGCGCGACCACGGCATCATTGCCAACGCATTCAACGACGTGCCCCTCTTAGTTCGCAGTCCACGCACGACGCGCGCTGTGGTGCAGGCGATCCACGCGCTGGCGATGCTCGTCAAGGCCGGCGTCAACTACGTGGCGCGGACCAAGTCCCTGGAGTGGAGCATGCAGCTGTCTTGTGAGTCAAATCGTGTCCACCAAAGCAAGCCCACTGGTTTGTACGTTTTGTTTTTATTTTGTTCTAACGTCGCAATCTAGTGTGCAATATGGAGTGTGCTCTGCTGCTGTCCAAGTGGCTGATTACGCTGGCGTCCATTGGCCCCAACGACGCACCCATCTCGGCCGAGGAAAAGACGCTGCTCGACAACGTGCGCCGGCTGCTGGACGAGACGGAGTTTGCCGTGCCCATTGACCCGTCGTTGTCGGGCGGTGCGCCATCGGGCGCGTCGGCCGCAGTCTCGACTTCGTCAACGGCGTCGGGGAACGACGGCGCCAAGCTGCGTCAGCTTGCGACGGCCGTGATCCACCTATGGGCGGAGACGTTCAAGGGCACGCACATTTTTGAGGTGATTAGCATTATGGGTCTCGGTCTCGAGAGCTATGCGGACATTTTGGAGAAGCCGGGCGACCGGACCCCAATGGCGCGGATTTCCGCCGCTGGTGGTCTGTAGAGTCCGTTGTGTCTCTGTTTCTTTTTTATATATTTATTTGTTTTCCATTCCTACTGTTTACTTTTGTTTGACTTGGTATTCCTACGTCTCGGCAAGCCCTGGCGTTTGTGAAGCCTTGGGGACTTTGTGATTTCTGGGCGGTCCGGGGTTTCGGTGTGGGCGTATTGTTTATATAACTATTGGATTTGGTTGCTTCACAAGTACGAATCGTACCAGCGTGATTGATTTATTTTGACCACCTTTATTCTTAGTTCGTACTTTTTGTTTGGCAAGTGCTTATTGAAACCAGCCATATCCGTGTCCATGATAAGTGATTGTCCCAACATCGTTACATGTCTCCATCCTGCGGCTCTTTCCCGCCTCCGTCCCTCCCCCAGCTCCTTCCGTCCACGTCCGTAACAAACCATCGCGCCTTCCCGTCCTCAACGCGTCTCCCCACCTTCCTCGTCGTCTTTTTTTACAGAAATTGTGCAGCCCATCCTGTATATACTGCTGCGCCCGTTCACTTTGCAATACTCTTTTGAAAGGCAGGATGGTCGAGTGGTTAAGACCCTGTGCCGGCCCCGCCAAGCCAACAAGTTTTCCTCGCAGCCGTTCTCCGGTGGTGACCGGACAGAAGCTGGTCTGCGCCAGCGTATGTAATCATATTTCGTTCTGCTTCTGTTTCTGTTTCTCATTTCTTCTCCTGGTATCGATTTTCGGGTTTTCGGTGTTCGGTGTCTGGTTTCTGGTGTTCGGTTCCTGGTTTCAACCACGCTTTGCAATAAAATCTCCTTTCTGGCAATATACACGACGCCCAAACAAAAGAACAAAAAATAAATAAAAAAGGACCAAAATAGTCTTCAGCCGAAGCAACAACAAAATTGGAATTCCGCAACACCTCACAAAATCCACTTACAACGGCCAACAATTGTTTATACATCAGCAAACCTACAGCGGCTACAATTCACGACAACGGCGACTGGCTACGCAGCGAGTCTGGGTCGTCGGGCCTCGGCATTGTGCACTGTTATATGTTGTATGCGCTGTATGCACAGTCTACTGAAAAGGGAACAGGCCTGGAATGGTCTGCCAGTCGTGTCTGGCCAGATCTACTCGTTTGCACCCTTTGCTTTCCTCTACCTTTTCATGTCTCTTTCATTCGTATTTCTACTGTCTTTCTACTCTTGAGCCTGGAAAAGTTGTTGGCGGCGGGGGCGCGCAGGCCCTTTGGGGACGGGGGTTCGAATCCCTCTCCTGCCGTATATATTATTTTTTTGAAGGTTTTTTGGTCAACTTGGAATACGGTTGTTTTCAGGCTTCTCATTTTCCTTGAAATGGGATACGTTTATTCTAACTTTTTTCTGCTCTTGAAAAATTCAACTCATACTTTCAGGTCATTCAGACAAATCTCCAGCACTCGACTTGTTGCCTTCAATGGTGTTGTTGTGTACATCGCGACTTCTTTGTTCGGCGATGCGAGCCCTTGCCTTGTTTGTTGACTTTACAGGGTCTAAAGGGAAGTAAACAACACCCTCTGCCAGAACCAGCGCCTCATTCGGCCTGCCGCCACGTATTCTTTATTGGCTTTTTCTTTTTCGTTTCTTTTCTTTTCTTTTTCTTTTCTTTTCTTTATTTTTTCATTTATTTTTTACTTTTTAATTTTAATTTTATTTCATTTTTTTATTATCAACCCCTCCCTCTCTTAAGCCGTCAGTGTTTGTTCTTTCCTCTTTGGTCGTCATGTATGTCATCCCATGCCGCATCACAACTTCAGAGATTGATAAATTCTCAAAGGTAGGCTGTCCCTCCGAGGTGCTGTGCAGCCGCTCAGCAAGGTGAATCAGGGGTCACTGCGGGTGTGCTCTCGTGGTCCTTTGTTTGGCTGTTTGGGCAATCTCTCTTGGCTGTCCAAACCCAAATCCGCCAAAGGACTGTGAGCTCAATTCCATAAAATGTGGGGTCTTTCCTTGTCGGGTGTAAGTGGCGCGGGTTGCAAGGGCTGGGCACAGCCTCCACGACTTCCCAAGGCTGCATTGGCAGAATGTCAAAAATGCGCCCACACTGCAAGGCACTGCAGGCAGCCTTGCGATCAATAATAAGAGGATACGATACAAAAGGTTGCCGCCGTCCTTCATCCATGGCTCGTTACAATAGCAGCTTCAGCGACCACGATTCTTTGGCGACATCTACCAGCTGCACCTTTTGCATTCTCGAGATTGCTCTTTTCTGTATTTACTTTGTGCAGTGGCTTCAGTGCATAACGCCTGTTTCAAACTACCTGTAGTTGCCCTTTCAGCGCCTGCCTTTTGGCGGCACCGCCTTGGCCGCATTGTCGACCGCCGTACCTCCAACTTTTCTCTTTTCCCACCATGCACAGCGCCAACAACGACAACGCGCCGCCGCCGCCGTACAGAGCACACGGCTTCGGTGATGCACCTGGCTCTTCAACTGCGCCAGCGGACGCGCAAGGCGACTTGATCGATCTCGGTGACCACATCAGCGGCACCCCATCTATATCGCCGCCCTCGTACGAGGCGTCCTACAATGATCATGCTCGCAGCAGCAGCGAGACCATTGCTAGTCCATCGGTTCTCCCCGAAAAGAAGTCCAGCTGGAACTACGCGGACAGATTGACTGCTGACGAAGGCTCCTCCTCGTCGGCCACGTCGTCCCTCGACTGTGGTCACTGGGCGAGCCGTGGCTGCTCGATGACGTCAGGCCCGCGGCGCTGCTGCTCCTGTCTCGACCGCCGCGAGCACCGTCCCGACGGGCGGTACCCTGTCTACGTTGACGGCATGGGCGACCGATTCGGTTCCACCACGCGCTGGGCCCACTACTGCACGCCGTGCAAGGAGTACGAGCGCGCCGCGGCGAGCAGCAAAGGCACCACGTACGTCGGTGATGCTGGGCCGCCCGATGTCGCCGCAATGCGGCGCGCGCGTCGCGAGGCCAGGCGGCAGGCCAAGATCGATCGCACGGCGCGCATGAAAGCGAAAGACGATGCCGCCGACCAGATCCGTGAGGCACAGGCCAGGCTGGATGAGGCCAAGGGGCTCGACGACCAGAACCAAATATACTACATGACACACACCAAGAAACACATACGGCGCGAACGCCACGCTGAGCGCGCCCGAATCGAGCAAGAAGAACGGGAGCGCGTGGCCAAGGACGCTGCCGACCTTACGGTGCTGCGCGACATGCGTCGGCAGGCCCAGCTGCAGGCCGCCGATCTGGAGCGGCAGCTGGCCGAGAAGCGCGCGCGCGTTGCCCACCTGGACCACCAGATCCGCATGCGCGAACTGCGGGCCGTGCCAGCCCCTGCAAAGCCCGCGGCCCCGGGCCAGCAGCCCAGCATGCCGCAAAAGTCAGACTTGTCCGGCATGTCGGCGTCGGACCGTTCTGCCATTGCCGAAAAGGCTGCACTCGCCGACAGCTACCGCGATCACCGCCGGGAGACATCGACGACGCCCGCCACCGCCACCGCCACCCGCTTCGCCCTCTCCTCTACGAATGCCTACGAACCGAATCGGCAAGTCGCTGCGGGTGGGGTGGCTGCCAACCTAGCGCTGCCACCCCAGGCGGAAAAGCCGGGCGGCTTCTTTTCCAGTGCAGGTCCCAGCAGTAGCGGAGGCGCGGACGGCGGTAGAAGCGCCTACGCCACGGGCCCTGGTAGTGGTCCCGGCGCCGGCCACGGCTCCTCCTCGTCAGGCTGGCTCGGCCGCATGTTTGGACGTGGCAAGGGCAAAGAAAGGGAGCGGGAACCGGCCGCCGGGGAAACCTACTATGGCGAGCATTTCTATGCACGAAAGCGCGCCGAGATTGAGGCCGCCGCCCAGGCCAGGGAGTACACGAAGGAGAAGAAGTGAGGGGAGCGATGCGAGACGTGTGTCTTTGCGTCTTGTCGGCGCCTTGTCAGCGTCTTTTTGTGCCTTCTGCATGCCGTGTTTAATTTCCAAATGTTCATTTGACGACCAGCATTTATACCATATAGACAAGTATGATGAATTCCTTTGAAACTGCCTGGACCACACTCAACGGTGCTACTGTCGTTCCTGTCTCCTGTCTCGCTACTTCTTGACCTTCTTGACCTTTGTCTCTCTTTACCTGGTAGGACCAAAACGTGAAGACTCGGAAATCACAACGCAGCTTCCGTTGGGTCGGCGGAGCATTGTCTCAATAAACAAGAAAGCGAGCAAAGGAATACAATATACAGGTAGGCAAGAGGCAAGCGATGAGAACAATATCAGCACGACACTCTCTTCTTTTTCTTCGTTCCCGGAACCACTTCACGTTTGAACGCGTCGTTCCTTCCTGAGTCTACTTGCATTTGCACACCCACGCGCTCTTTCTCCATCCCATTCTTCTCCCAAATACCTTTCCCACTTGGCAAGCCTTGTTGAGACATTTGGAAGGAATAGAATGAGGAAAGAGCGGCGCGACGCAAGCACAAAACAGGCAATAATGCATTTTTAAAACAGCAAGCACGACCCAGGCGCGTCGACATTCCTCCAAACGACCATTGAATTGAACAGAGAGCCAATTCAATAATATAGCACACGTTACCCTACTTTTCAAATACTCGAACGCGAATGCACCCTGCTCGTCGTAGCCCTGTCCAATGCACAGTACTGTGCCCTCCCGAATTTTGCCAAGAGTACAACATAGAAGTAAACATCTACGGCTGCTCCATCACAGCTCATCTCCTTCGGCACCCCTTACATCGATCGACCCTTCCGTATTTCCCATTTTCTTGGTCGCTGCCCCTGAATTTGTGTTCGGCGACAGTCGTTCTTTCTGTGTACAGTGTCTTCCTCCAGAATTTACAGTCGTACTTTCAGTGTACACTGTTTTCCTCCCGAATTCACAGCCGTTCTTTCCTCGCGTCCAGTCCGCCTTGTAGCAACTGCCATGCGAGACTTTCCGACGATCTTCTACCGAAAAGGGGCACAACAAATTGCATTTGTACAAATCATCTGGAGCATCTCCAAATGCCAATCGCGCCTTTATTCGTACATCTTATCCACTCGACACGACCGTCACGCTTGCTTCTAACGCCTTCATTCTTTCGACGTCATTTGGCTCTGCTTCCCGTTTCTATTGAATTCTTGTCGCCGCACATTATCACGCCGTGTTACGCTCGTTCTTTCGCCTCGCGACGGGAAATATGTAAATCACGAGAATTTCGGCCAGGCCACGAGTCTCTTGTTTTCGTCTTTTCCTTCTCCATTCTCTTCTTCGGACCATTTTTTCTTGTTTCCTTTCCCTCCTCTTCCTCATCTTCGGCGTCGTCTTCCACTCCCTAATCCTCCACAGTCTGGCGATAGTCTCTCCTTCCAACTTCCATCGCCGGTGTCGTTCTTTACGCTTGTTGTTTACTTCATTTTCATCCTCGTCACTCGTCGTCTTTTCCTTTTTGCAAACGCCACTTCAAGTTCCCTTCACCGACCCCGACCCTGTCACCATGAAGACTGCATCACCCTCGCTGGCATGGCTGGCCCTGCTGGGCTACCTTGTAGCCGCCATACAGGCTGCCTTTTGGATGGAAGAAGTGTCACACAATGGCCTTGCTCCGTACGCCGAGGATGGCTACGTCGTCTTCCGCAACGTGCTCGACTACGGCGCCAAGGGCGACGGCGTGACCGACGACTCGGCCGCCATCAACGCCGCCATTGCCGACGGCAACCGCTGCGGCAAGGGCTGCCAGTCCTCGACTATTACGCCTGCCGTCATCTACTTCCCGGCCGGTACCTATGTCCTGTCCACGTCCATCCTGCCGGCCTACATGACCCAGCTGATCGGCGACGCCACCAACCTGCCCACCCTCAAGGCCGCATCCAACTTCGTCGGTCTCGGCCTCATCGACGGCGACCCCTACTACAGCGGCCCGGATCCCAATTGGCTGTCGACCAACCTGTTTTATCGCCAGATCCGCAACTTCGTGCTCGACACCACGGCCATTGACGCCACCAAGCTCGCGTACGGCATCCACTGGCCGACCGCCCAGGCCACGAGCCTGCAGAATGTGCGCTTTGTCATGCCCCGGACAAAGGGCGTGGCACACATTGGCCTCTTCATCGAGAGCGGCAGCGGTGGTTTTATGACGGACCTGTCCTTTGATGGCGGTGCCATTGGCGCGTCTCTCGGGAACCAGCAGTTCACGATGCGCAATCTGGCTTTTGACAGCTGTGTCACGGCCATCAACCAGCTCTGGGACTGGGGCTGGACCTACTACGGCCTTGATATCAAGAACTGCGATGTGGGCCTCAATGTCTCGTCGGGCGGCAAAAGTGCCCAGTCTGTCGGCTCCATCACCGTATTTGACAGTGTCTTTACGAGCGTCAGCGTCGCCATTGTTTCGGCATATGTGCCCAACACGTCGCAGCCCGAGACCGCCGGCAGCATCATCCTCGAGAACATTGTCGCCAACCAGGTCCCTGTCATTGTGCAGACCCCCGACGGCAACCTGTTGACCGGCGGCGTCGCTGTCACCGTCGCTGCTTGGGGCCAGGGTCACCAGTACATTCCCGACGGCCCCACGCCGCTCCAGGGCGGCTTCAACGGCAACCCTCGGCCCACCTCGTTGCTGGCCTCGGGTAACCCGGTAGCTTCCGCTGCTGGCGTTCCTGGTTCCTACTACGCCCGCGCCAAACCGCAGTACGAGAACCTCCTTGCTTGCAACTTCTTCAGTGCTCGTGCGGCCGGTGCCAAGGGGGACGGTGTCACCGACGACACGGCTGTCCTCCAGGAACTGATTGACTCTGCCACGCTCACTGGCAACGTTGTTTACCTCGATTACGGCCTGTATGTGGTGACGAAAACGCTGACCGTACCGCCTGGTGCACGCATCGTCGGCGAGGCCTACCCCGTCATCCTGGCGGGCGGCGACTCTTTCTTCAAGAGTGACAGCAACCCCCGGCCGCTGCTGCAGGTCGGTGCCTATTCGGGCGAGCAGGGTACCGTCGAGCTCTCCGACTTTGTGCTTGCGACACAGGGTTCGCAGGCGGGCGCCATCCTGATCCAGTGGAACCTCGATGCGTCGGCCTCGTCGGACCTGGGCGGTATCTGGGATGTCCACACCCGCATCGGCGGCTTTATGGGTTCCGAACTCCAAGTTGCTGGCTGCCTCAAGAACCCGCAGTCGTCCACTGTGAACTCCAACTGCATTGGCGCCTTCATGTCCATGCATGTGACCAAGTCTGCCGCCGCCGTGTATGCCGAAAACGTCTGGCTGTGGACGGCTGACCACGACATGGACGACTGGAACAATACCCAGATTTCTATTTACAGCGGCCGCGGTCTCTACGTCGAGTCATCGTCGGGCCCGGTGTGGCTTGTTGGCACCGGCTCCGAGCACCACACGCTGTACCAGTACCAGGTCGCCGACGCCCGCGACGTGTTCATGGGCCAGATCCAGTCCGAGACGCCCTACTTCCAGCCGAACCCCGTGGCCACGACACCGTTCGAGGCCAATGCGACCTACAACGACCCGGACTTTTCGGCCTGCGATGCTTCGGATACCACTTGTGCTTTGGCGTGGGGTCTGCGCGTTTTGGACTCGGATACGGTTCTTGTGTACGGTGCCGGTCTCTACTCGTTCTTTAGCAACTACGGCCAAACCTGTATCCCCGGCCGGTCGTGCCAGGCGCGCATCACCTCGATCGAGGGCAGCTCACCGGCAGTCAACATTTACAACCTCAACACCATTGGCGTCGCGAGCATGCTCGACAGGGATGGCGCGTCGCTGGCGAGCGCGGCTGACAATAAAAATGTCTACCCGGACACCATTGCTCTGTTCCAGAGCTAGGCGGGCCGAAACGGCGACGTTTTTGTATGACGGTGGCTTTCTATTTGGCGTTTTTGTATGACTTCAGATGGTTTTGGGATTAATTTGGATGGTTTGAATTTTGGCTGATTCCTTGGTTAGCGTTTGGACTTGTTTTCTTTTTCTGTTGTTTTTTCTGTCCGTTTCACTCCCCAGGATCTGAACTCCTTTCATTTCTTTGTTATATGTTTATTTGCATGCCATCTTGAGATCAATGTTACTCCTTACTCATTATCATGAAAAGCACCTACATACAGAACCTGCCGAACTAATCTTTCAATGAGTAGCCGACCGGACCACTCTCGCGGCCCATCTTGATCAGTCGCGCACGCATGCCCTCGGCCCGCGCCCGCTCAGTCTCCGTCAGCACGCTGAAGTCGCACCGCTCCACCCAGTCGCCCACGCCGTGCTGCAGCACGTTGCGCGCCCGCAGTGCGTTGCCGCCCACATGGCCCACCGACCCGTGCAGCGTCGTCCGCTCCACAGCCGTCTGGTACACGCCCCGGTGCAGAATGTTGTTGTTGTAGAACACGGCGTCGCCCGGGCCCAGCTGCACGGTGAGCTGGGGACGGTGGCCTGCCGCCTCGTCGCATGGCAGCGTCGCCTGGTACGGATCGGCCGCGCGCTCGCCCTCGGTGCGCGCCCGCTTGTGCGAGCCGGGCACTACAATCAGGCTGGCGTCGTCCCACAGCGCCAAGTTCCACTGCGCATGGAACGCGGGCGCCTGCAGCCGCTCCATCTCCTCGGCCGGCGTCGCGTCCGGGCCAATGTCGTCCCGGTGCCACCGCAGCTCATAGTCCTTGTAGTCGGGCCGCACCAGCATGTTGTACAGCTCCATGACCAGGTCGTCGTCGCTGCACGCCAGCACGCGCTTCGCCACGTCGAGCACGCCGTCCTGCGCAAAGTACGACTGCGTAAAGATGCCGGCGTCCTGGGCGCCCATCTCGGGGCGCATCAGGTGCTGCACGCCCCAGATGCCCGGCTGGTCGACGCCGTTGCTCGCCTTGGCCTTTTCGGCCGCTGCCCGGTCCCACCGGTCCCAGGGCGGGAACTGCTTGCCGACGGTGCGCACGTGCGGCCAGTCGCCGGCGCGGGCTTTGTTGGCGGTACGGATGGCAGCTTCCTGGAGGGCCTTGAGCGCGTCGCCGCTGACGACGTTGCGGACAACGACGAAGCCGTCGGCCTTGAGGCTGGTGAGGTAGGGGTCTTCAGAGACAGTCATAGTGAGGGGTTGTGTGGTGGCTGGTTTGTTTGTATTTGTGTCTGTGTATCTTTGGGTCTTTTGCTTTGTGGAGACGTGAAAAGTCTGGGGATCTGAAGCGACTGGCTTCGTCTTTATGCTTCACAGAATGCTATCATTTGGAAGTTCGTATCTTGCCCGAGGTTTCCCCTCTTTGCTTTCCTTTTCTTTCCTTGTTTTTCTGTCTTGTGGTTCCAGCGTCTCCGCTTGCTGACTCCAACTAAGTCGGTCCTAGATAACACGATACTTTGGTATAAGCCAAGGTACACAGTATTGGCCCCTCGCGGTGGGCAAAGTTGATTGTTACATGCAGCATCCGAAAAGGTGCTACAGGCGTGGAAGGGCTGGTGCCAGTTGGATCTTGACCACCAACAAAACGGCCCCATGTAACGTGTTCGACGTGATGTTAGACGGTGCTAGTATGGCCCTGTGGATCGTAGGTAAAGCGCTAATACGACGTATCTCGGGCCCCTAACCTGCGCTGTAGGAACGCCGGGAGCCGCTGGAAGCGACATCCGGAGGAGGAAAAGCCGTCTAAAAGCGCGGGGGAGACGCCCTGTAAGGTGGTGGGGAACTCAGGGGACTGCACTCTGCCAAATAGAAAAAGTGTATGTTGTAGTGGCTTTTGAAGAAACACCTCGTTTAATTGAACACGTGACAGCGTGTTGAGTGGTGTAACCCAAGATAGACTAGCGTCGCGATTTGTCGCGTCCATTGGCTGTCCGAGGATCGAGGAGGCGTCCTTTGCGACTTTCAAATTGATGACGACGACGGCATCCACCACCTGAAGTCGCTCTCTCCATTCCATCATCAATCACCCATCACTAATCCATCGCAACTGTTCATTTCATGTGTCCCATCCTACAAAATGCCACCCAAACGACAGGCACCTCCCACCCCTGAGCCGTCAGGTCGCCGACGGTCGACGCGCATCAGCCTCTCGGGCCAAAAGAGCCAGTACTTTGAAGGCGACGATTCGGATGTAGACATGGATGAGCGGCCAGGAAAGCGTGCCAAGACAACTGCTTCGTCGGGCAGACGACGAAATGGAGCGCGTCGACCGGTTGATGACAGCGGCGACAGCGATGCCGATTCATACAAAGAGGAAGAAGACGATAGTGAAGAAGAGGATGGCGACGACAACGATGGTGACGACGACGACGATGATGATGACAATGACGGTGGAGATCGAAAGAGAGCGAAGAAGGGCGGACCTGCCAGCAGGTACAAGCAAGGCGACGCCGACTCTGACTCCGACTCGGATGCCGCTCCCAAGGTCACCTTCGTCCCGCACAAGAAGCTACGCGACCTCGGCGGCGTTGATTACGTCGACGAACGCGTCCACTTTGTGACGATGGATTTCCTCAAGGACCTCAAGGCCAACAACCGCCGCGAGTGGCTCAAGGGCAACGACGCCGAGTTCCGCCGAGCGCAAAAGGACTGGCTGTCGTTTGTCGACACGCTCGGCCTCCGCCTCGCGTCCGACGCCGACGAGACCATCCCCGAACTGCCGGCCAAGGATGTCGTTTTCCGCATCTACCGGGACGTGCGGTTCAGCAAAGACCAGCGGCCCTACAAGCCGCACTTCTCGGCGGCGTGGTCGCGCACGGGGAAAAAGGGTCCGTATGCGTGCTACTATGTGCACTGCGAACCGGGTTCGTGCTTTGCTGGAGGCGGCCTGTGGCACCCGGACAACGACTCGCTGCGGCTGCTGCGGGCGAGCATTGACGAGCGGCCCCGTTGGTGGCGGCGGGTGCTTGTGGAGAATGACACGCTGCGGAAGACATGGCTCAGGGGCGGGGCGGGCGTGTCGACAGGCAAAGCCAACGAAAAAGCCATCAAGAGGGCATTTGCCAAGAGCAACGCGAACGGCGCTCTCAAGACGAAGCCGATGGGCTATAGTGCCGACCATCGGGACATTGAGCTCTTGAAACTGCGCAATTTCACAATGCACAAGAAGATTCCTGACAGCATGTTTACGGATCCCGATGGACAAGACCAGCTCATTGAGCTGCTGAGTGCTCTGACACCCTTTGTGACACTTCTGAACCGTATTGTCCGGCCAGACCCGGGCGAAGACTCTGACAGCGAAGAAGGCGAAGGAGACGAGGCCGAGGAGGACGACGAGGAAGAAGAGGAAGAGGGTGGCGAACAAGAGGAAGAGGACGAGGACGAGGACGAACTGGCTATACCGGACTTTTGAGGCTGCACTTGGTTATGTGTTTTTGCTCATTGTATAACATAATGTATGATTATTTGGAGCATTCAAAGAAGCAAAACTGAAAATAAATGGCAAAATATGCGATATATGGTATCATTGGCGACATCGTTTCACTCCCGTGTCTTTTCTTCACATTTACTCCCCTTCATAATAACTTGGCGGCAAGTCCTCGTCGTGCGTACCCCAGGCACTTTCCTCGGGCCCCACGACGTATTCGAGTACGCCGCCCGTCAAAAAGATGTCATGCGTAATCCAGTTACGCGTATACGGTTTGCCGTCGAGTGTCGCGCTTTGAATGTATTTGCTGGCGTACGTCGGGTCAAAGTTGAGCACGCGGAACACGGCGTCGCGGCCGTTCCGAGCGCGCAGGTGGACCTCGCGGAAGAAGGGCGGCGTCAAAAGGTACACGTTCTGGCCGGCCACGGGGAAGAAGCCCATGTACACAAACGCTGAAAAGGCGCCCATAGCGCAGTCGTCGTTGCCGGGGATGCCGTTGACGGTGGCATTGAAGAGAGAGGGGACGTAGCGGTGGGCCCAGTAGCTGCTGAGGGCGGGCCGGCCGGCGTAGTGGAACTGGAAGACGGGCAAGAATGTCTGCTCGTTGCCCATGTAGGCAATGCCGGACTCGTGGAAATAGTGCAGGCGGCGTGCGAATGTGGCGGGCCCGCCCATGAGGCGCACAAGCGTGCGCATGTCCTGCGGAGCGTAAAACGAGTACAGCCACGGGCTGCCCTCATAGGTCTCGTAGGCCGTATCGTAGTAACAGCTGTGCATGTCATAGACGGGGCTGCAGCGGCGCGTGTTGTGGTAGCGCCAGGTGCCGTTTAAGAGGCGTGGCTGCAGAAAGCCGACAAAGTCACTCTGCACGATCTCGTCCTGCGCGTCGCGGTATAGGTCGCGCTGCTCGGCGTTCCAAAGGTTGCGCCAGTTGGCGCCACGGCCATGGTACTTGTCGGCATCTACGGCCAAGCGGGATGGGTTGAAACTCAGATCAGCTGACGTTGCTTGGCCAAGTGTTTGTTGGCCCGTCGGCGTGATGGTACTCTTGACCCCGCCCAAGGCTTGAAGCCCCTTGGCCAGTTCGGAGATGACGAAATCGTCGTAGGCGTACTCGACCAGCCGCGAAATGCTACGGCTCATCGGCCCCGTGCCGTTGACGTCGTTGTCGTTCCAGGGAATGAAGCCCAGAGCGTGGTAGCTCTCGAGGCTGCCGCGGCCCTCGACGCCCCAGAAGCCCGGCTCGACCTCTGCATCCGACACCACCGCAGCATAGGCCGTTGCCCAGTCGATGCCCTCTGTCAGGTTCTTGACAAAGGCATCGGCCACGACAACGTCGGCATTGGACCCGCCTTGTGTGTAGCCCTTACAAAAGCTCATACGGCAGTCAGGTAGCTTGCCGTCATGCCGGAAAATGTCGAGCAGGGCCCGCACCATTTCCGTCTGAGCGGGTGGATCGATGATGGTGAGCAGCGGATGCTGGGCGCGGAACGAGTCCCAGATGCAGTAGAAAGAATCAAAGTAGGGCTCGTCCGAGTCCCATTTTTGGTTCTCACCCGTGTAGTTTTGCGGCGACAGAAGCGAGCGATAGAGACCGGACCAGAATGTGATTTGCATGGCCGAGGACACGCCGGTGGCGTCGACCCGGATGGGCGACAGCTTGTCGCGCCAGGCGTTTTGGGCAGCATGGACCGTGCCGTCAAAGTCCCAGTCCGGGATCTCGGCCTCGGCGTTGGCACAGGCCTGGTCCGTCGAAATAAACGACATGCCGACGCGGGCCGTGATGGTGTGGTCGGAACCGGCAGCTGGTGGCTCAAACTGGATCCAGGCACCGGCAGCGCCCCGGGGATCGCGGAAATAGCCCTCGCCCAAGTTGCCGATAAAGTTGACGGCGTCCGAGACACGTGTGCCGGCAAAGACGCCCGTCTTACGTATCGCAGCACCGCGGAAGTCAGCACAGAAAAAGGCCGAGTACTGGCCCATGCCAAAAGACGGCTGGTAGCGGCCGTCGCCGATGATGCGGCCGTCGGGGTAGACCTGGATGCCGCCGCCTGTACGCGAGTTGCCCAGGTCTGACAGGTCGATCAAGACCAGTGGACTATACGGCACGTAGGCATCGCCGCACCACAGCTGGAGGGGAGACGGAGGCGATGTGGCTGCGCTGGGGGTTCCGGGGCTTCTGGGTGCCTTGGCAGCCGCCACATCAGCTGCCACGGCATCTGGAAAGGAAAACCGATACAGCGCCGCATGCTGTGTGGCCGTCATCTCGGCACTGACCGAGTTGTTGAGGTCAATAGCAAAGTACCCAGGGCTGGCGCGGGCGGTGTTGTTGCGGCGGTGGACGGCGCGCCGAAATGCCGGGAACTCGCACTGACTGTAGTCGTTCTGTGGGCAGCCGGGGTGCACAAAGATGGGGAACTGGCCCATGGACGGACTGCCACCGGTGCCCGAGTCGTGCAGGTGCGAGAAGCCAGTAATCTTGCTGTAGTCGGACACGAAACCGGCGGCATTCTCGGCGGGACTGTTGGTGTCCGCGACAGCCTTGGCCATGCCATAGGGCAAAGTGGCGCCGGGGAAGACGTGGCCGCCATTGACGGTGCCGATGAGCGGGTTGATGTAGCGGATGACGTCAAAGGAAGACGATGAGCCCGGGAACGACGAGGAGAACGTCGACAGCGGCAGGTGGCTGGACGGCAAGAAGAGGACAAAGTAAAGGGCGTTGCCAAGCTCGTGTCGAGGCGTCGGAAGCAGCATCAGCACGCAAAAGGCAAAGAACACGAGCATGCCGAGCCGGCTGCGGCGGCGGCCAATGACCCGGATAAACGACATGCTGGCGATTGGCAGTCGGGCGATCTCGCTGGTGGGTGTCTAGTGCGCGGTGTCTTGCTCCCACGACACCGCCGTCGACATGCCCTCGATGGGGCGGGAGAGAGGTGGAAGGGAGCGACGAGAGCTGCTGGCTCACACGGGCATATCTTGGGGTAAGACAAGGGGGGCGGTCATACGACGTGGCCGGGAAGGAGTGAGCCGTGAGGAGTGGAGATCGCAGAGTGTGGGACAGAGACACACTCGAGGAAGGAGCGAAAGACGACAACGCAAATACGGGGCAAGAGGAAAAGCAAAAGAAAGAGCGAGGGAGGGCAAGAGGGAAGGGAAGGAAAGCGCGAGGGACACCGGCGATGGAAGAATAAAGGGAAGGAAGTAAAAATGCAATACTATGAATGAAATGAAAAATGAAATTCAACAGTGACAAGAACCACCGAAAGCTTGGCAATAAACGTGCGCAGGCGGTCTGGAAAGGACAGCTGTTTCTCGATTCCGGTCGGAAAGCCAAAGAACAAGGATGGAGGCGAGAGACCTGCACGGGAACAAATCGACAAGAATACAGAGAGACATTGAATCCGGTGTCTCCTTCGGAAATGCCACCTCTCGGCAAGCGGGAAGTGACGCCAGACGACCTGGAGCTCTTAAAAGACACAAAAGGCACCTTGCAACATACGTCGTACATGAATTGTGAAGCTTCCCCACAGTTCTTGGCCTTTTACGACGTCAGACCTCCTGGCTTATGGAGGACATCCTAGTGCAATCTGCAACGGGCTGTTCGACTGCCAAGACGCTCTCTGCCGAATGTCCGACAGTGTGACTCTGTCCGTGAGTTATTCTGCCTGGTCCTGTTTGACATATGTGTCGTGTTGTTGTTCAAGTATCGTGCCTGTTCTCTTTCTGTCGTCTCTTTCGCCCCATTTTCGTCGCCTACTAGCTTCACACACATTCCATTGTTTGGCTATATTGCTCCTTCCTTGTAGAGTTGTCCGCTCTTTCCACATCTAGCGTGGACCACCACTAGCGGTGCAGGGGTCACTACATGCTTAAATCAACCGTAAATCGACCGCTATTGGGGCGGAAAGACGGGAGCGATGCGGTAATACGCTGTGGTTGTCCAATAGTGATCACAGCAAAGTAAGGCCAATGGAGCACACATGCAATTTAAGCTGTCGACTCTCGGCTGAATTGGCTGCTGCCGTCCATCGTCACTGCCCCATAGCACACAATAGCTACCGTAATAACAGCACTGTAATTATTACCCCAGACTGATGAGGCTTTTCTCATAGTATAGTGATTAAATCCGTCATGACGCCAAACGCCTTTGCTTCTCAGCCATCCGTGCCCAAAAATCCCGGCCTCATGCTATGTGTCGTCGTCTTGAACCTTGAGCCCGCACCACTTCACTACTGAAAACTCGTTGCTAGCAGATGCGGCTTGCGGTCCCGCAGGTCGAGCAGCATCTGGCCAAACAGGCCGTTGGCCCAGGAGAACCATTGGCGCGTCCAGGCGCTCTCGTCGTGGCTGCTGACCGACTCGTGCATCAGGCCCAGGCCGTCGGTCGACGACACCAGCTGCCGCAGCGCCGCCGCGATTTCGTAGTCGTCGTCGGTCGTCATGATCTGCACCACCAAGCTCATGGGCCAGGCCATGCCCGTGCCCACATGGGGCCCGCCCGTGCCGTTGAGCACGGGGCCCGTCATATAGTAGGGGTTGGCGCGGCTCAGGACGAGGCGGCGCGTGTTGCGGTAGACGGGGTCGTGGCGGTCGACGTAGCCCAGGAGGGGGGCGCTAAGCAGGGACGGAATGTTGGCGTCGTCCATCAGGTTGTGCGAGCCAAACCCGTCGACTTCGTACGCGTAGACGTCGCCGTAGACCGGGTGGGCCACGCGGCCGTAGCGCTCAATGCCGACGCGAATGGTCGCGGCAAAATTTGTCATGCGCAGCGCGAGCTCGTGGAAGTAGCGCGAGCGGTGGCCCTGCCGGTAGTTGCTGTAGTCGTCGTCGGCAACGGCAGCAGCGTCCACCAGGGGGCTTTCCCGCAACGAATCCGTCTTGGCCGGCGCCCGGCCGCGGCCCAGCTGCGCCATGATGGGCGCACACGCCGCCAGATAGCGCGCCAGCATCATGTTGGCCGGCACAAACAGCTGGTGCGTGCAGGCGTCGTCCGACGGCCGGAACGCGCTGCGCACCATGCCCGTGCCGCCTTGCACCGGCGGACCGGCACCGCCGTTGGGCAGCGTCTCCGTGGCGACGCTTGTCGGCCGCTGGAACTGGTACGGCGAGACCTGCGGCCGCCCGTCGGGGCCGTACGTGCCTTTGGTCATTTCCTCGGCCGTCGCCATGGTGGCCTCCACGGCAAGCACCCACGTGCTGCGGAACTCGCTGTCGTCGCCGTCATTGCCGTCATCGCCGCCATCGCCGTCCTTACGGTACACCTTGCCGAAAAAGGCCCCGTCGTCGGTCGCCGCGTAGTAGTCGTACGACAGCTGCAAAAACGCCGCCAGCGAGTCGAGCTCGTACTTGCACTCAAACACCACGTCGTGCGCCACGGGCGGGTACACAATGTCGCCGCCGCCGAACCCGCCCGTCACGGTCAGGCCGCTCTCGACCGGCGGCCGGAAGGCGTTGCAGTGCGGCGAGTTCTGGATGTAGCGCGCCTGCAGGTTGATTGTGCCACGGAAGAGGGAGGCAAGCGTGGACAGTCCCTCGTCGTCCTTTGTGTCCTTCTTGCCCTTCTTGCCCTTTGGCCGCAGAAGCGACCTGTACGACTGCAGCTGGTTCGCACTGTCTCGCAGCCACATGGCGTTGATGTCGCCCGTCGTCACAAACGTCAGCTCCTCGTCCGTCGTGTCGGCTCCGACACCGTGCCATGCAATCGCCGTGTCGAGCGTGTTGGGAAAGCAGTTCTCAAACAGCCGAAACAGGTCGGGGTCGCGCACAAGCTTGCGCATTGCGTCAATCGTGTCCTCTACCTCCGGCACCTTGAATCGTCGGCACTCGGGCGGCGGCCGCTGGTACGGCAAGTTGAAGCGGCCGCCCGAAAAAGGCTGGTGGTCGCGGCTGGTGGCGTACGAAGTGTAGTCGGGACAGCCGACGGTATCGGCCCCGTCCCTTTTCGACTGTCTGCTGTTGCTGTCAAGGCTGTCATGGCTGTCATGGCTGTCGTCGCTGGAAGGTCGCGCAGAGACTGGCGCCACAGCCGCTGCGGCCGCTGCAGCCACGCCGACGACTCGTCCGAACCGAACCATGGTCACGATTGGCGAGATCCTCTGCGTCTCTTTTTGTCGTACGCCGTCGATCGCGGGCGGCTCTTTGGGGAGCCTGTCGAAATTGATCGTGTGTCGTCTCTCCTTTAGCCCCTTTCACGTGAAAACCATTGCGCAGACAGCGGCGAATGCAACACCAAAGGCAGTCCGATAGCGCGATTCAAGGAAGGTGCGTGGTTGTTATGAGGTCGTATCAAGACCAGTGGAAACGCCTCACGACTGCGAAATGCCGTGTACCGTCGGCGTCGTTCCCGGAGTGGAAAATGGAAAAGAACCCGGTCCGTCAGTTTTCGAATTTCGAACGTCTTTTAGCTGGTCGCCAATGCTACAAGTCGGAGTGCCCCATCCCGGTGCGCCGCCCCCAGACAACACTACCTGGGCCCACTAATAAGCACCCTGTAATTGCTTAAGGTAGCTGCTCTGCAGAGCTCTCATCGCGCCCGCCGGATAAAGTCTTGCTGGAAAGTGTCTTGGCTTATTAAAGTGCACTGCCAAGAGCCAATGTACTTTGTACCTGTCCGCCGTCCAGTATCTGTTTGCGTCCTGACGCGCATAGAACAACCCACGCACAAAAGCCCTTTTTTAATTTTTTATTTATCAACATGATATAGATTTAGATGCAGTCGCTATGTCGATGGCGGCAAACTCGCTCCAGACGTTTGCAGTAACAATTGACAAAGTGGCAAAATGGCAAACGACATAAGACACAAAGGCAAAAGGAAAAGAAAAGTAACGACAGATGTAAAAACAAGACGTGGACGATGCCAGAACATAAAAACATAACATTCGTCAAGCGACATAGTCATACTAAGATCAATCCCTTCCCAATAACAATCCAACGCTCACCTCAGCTCAGATCGAACCGCGCGTTCGACCGGATCGCATATAACAGCTTGTCCCGCAGCGTCTCCTCCGTCGAGTACCGCGGCAGCTTCAGCAGGTTAACGCACGTGCTTGTGCTCGGCAGCCGCGCCTCATCGTTGCCCCCGTCGCGAATGCTAAACTTGGGGCTGAGCTGCGAGAATCCTAACAAAGGCGCGCGCGGCGTCGATGTCACGTACTTGAGCAGCAACCGCCGGTCGTCATCCGGCAGCGACTGCACCACGTCCCAAAAGAGCTTGACCGTCGGGTGCTCCTCATGGTCGTCGCCGATGACATAGAGGCCGCCGTAGATCGTGTTGCGCCGCAGGTCATCCACGTCAATCTCGGACGAGTCGCCGCCCACGAGCCGCTGAAGCTCGTTCTGGTTGAACATGCGCAGCCAAACCGGGTCAATGATCGTGCCCAGGCCGCGCAGAAACGCCTTGGTCACCAGATACGGCTGGGCCATGAGTCGGTGCCGCGCCACGTAGGAAATATACAGCGGGCGGTTCTCGTTGGTCACACGCAGCTTGTCGCCGTTGGGCACGAGGTTACGCGTCTCCGTCTGCAGCCGCTCGTTGTTGCTGGAAATCTGGTCCTCGATCGTAAAGTCTAGGTCTAGGTCGGCCACGTCGCCGTCGTAGTTCTTCAGCTTCAGCATACCCTCGTACAGCTGTTCGTCCATCTCGCGCAGGTCGTTGATGTTGGCCCGGTACACCGAGTCCGTCGCTGACAGGGCCCACTTCGACAAGAAGAATCCCGCAAACACAAAGTCAATAAGGATGCCCTCGTACAAGCACTTGCCAATCATCCGCCCGATGAACTCGTAGGTGCGCATCAGGTTTGCAACCCTGTCGTCCCAACCTTCTGTCCCCTCCGTGAGGCCATGCTTCTGCAGCCTCATTTTCAGCTGGTCAAGCTTCGTCGGGTTGGGATAGATTGCGTTCTCCTTGTTCGCAGAGAAAATTTCGTCTTGTTGAGAAAGCACCTGCATAAGGGCACAAGTGAGAAATTCCTTCGTCACGCCACCACCATCAATGCCGGCCTCTTCGTTGCCGTACTCGTCAATAAACGTGATCTGGATAGGCTCTTTCAGACCTTCGCCAAGCTCCCAGAAATCTTGCAGGGCCGACTCGAAGATCGCATCTCGATGAATTCGTCCACTATGGCGCGCGACGATATCCCGTGCAGGGCTGTTCTCGCCCCAGCCACCGTGCTGGTTCATGATGTGCGCACGCCATGAATCGGGATCGGTGAATCCCTCCCGCCTCCGAAATTTGTCGAGCTGGACAAATTCCCGGAAGATCCGCACACGTGCCTCGAACGGAAGAATGTACGGCATGTTTCGCAGAATTTCAAGTTTCGGTCCGATCGTCGCCAGCTGCCGCTCGCGGGTCGACCTTTCGTGCTGGCGTCGCATTCTCTCCAGCATCGCGTATCGGGATGTCCGTGCAAATGTGCGGGACGTCGCCGTGTGGGTGTGCTCTTCCAAGTTGTCGTCTTCACTGTCGTCATCGTCCATGTCCACGTCCTCATTCCCGCTGCCATCACCGGCATGCTGTAGGTCGTGCTGTCGCTGCTCCTCGGTAACGACAGCAGGTACAAACTGTGCCATATCAAAATGCGAGGTCATGTGCCAGTGGCCAGGTGGGAGAAACTGGCGCCGAGAGTCGCGCTCGTACAGCATTTGGATCGCCGTCGTCACAATGGTCTTGAACATACGAAATTCCAGGCCCGGCACCACAAAGTAATTGCCGACCTCGTCAGAGCGCTTGGACTTGGTTGAATGAGACGGCTGGAAGACAGTCTCCGAAGAATCGCTTTGCAGCAGATCCGAGGCGTTGTAAAGAAGTGTGAAGGACAGATTCTTCAGGAACAAAGTCAGAGACTTAAGCGCATCCAGGGACAACGCCGAAGACCGGAGCCGCGAGCCAGGCTGCTTCTTAGTCTCTCTGAAAGGAGACGTCAGGTTGGAAAAACCAGAGAAGAAGTCGTCATCGTCTGTAAGTCTCAACACAAACGTGTAGAGCTCGAGGAACAAAAGCACAGTGCGCCATTCTCGATCCCATGTCGACTCGCTTTGCGATGTTGACGTGCTCATCGCGGCCGTGCGAGAGCGTTTCCGCTGCAATAAATAGTCCAAGGTTGATTTCGGAGACTTGAGCACTTGGCCAAAAAGCGAAGTGGCACTGGACGCCTCCCAAAAGAAGCGCACCGCCGGCACGGGCCCAGACTTTGTAGGAAGATCGGCCAAGAAGAACTGCATGCGAATGTCGTCTCCCTTGTCTGGAAAGCACCGAATGAGTACAATAGCATATCCGGCGAGTAGACTTGCATAGTCTTGCCCAGAAGAGCTCGCTTGGCTGGCCGTGAACCGTTCAAGGAGCTTTGTAATTTCCTCCTTATTGACCAGGGATCGGATCTGGGCTGCCAGATACTCTTCCTGGGATGTTTTATCTTCCGACATGCGGCCACTAGCGAACTGCAACCGCACGTCGCCATTCAGGAACGAAAGCTGTGTGTAGATGGCTCGGAGGTACAGAGACGAGCCCTGGCTCGCCCCGATCAGCCGCCTCTGAAAATCAACAACGTGGGCAAGAAGCCAAAGCAACTCGTCGGCGCGGCGGCTTGGTTTGTTTGTTGCGGTCTCATAAATATCAATCACAGCACGGGAGAGGACGTCAAGGCTGATGTGTTGAGAGAGGGAGGAGACAGTATTTTCCAACAGAACAATGGGCTGCGTGAGGAAAGACGCCGCGAACTCGACGTAGGCTCGTTGGGTAAATGTTTCCGGTGTTGAACCAGCAGGCAACAGAGGCACCAAAAGAGATTTTTGTAGATAGGACGCCGTGTTTTCGCCCAGGGCAGCCGCATCCATGCAATAGAACTTGGCGAGCATTTTGTAGTATGCTTTGAGGCTGTTGAGGAGAGCATGTGGCCGCAACTGAACGATGCGGATAAGAAGGTCGAAGAAGGACTGTGAGGATTCTTTTTGCGCTCTGTAATAAAGAGAATGAATATTTAGTAAATAGAACAAAGATCGTCCTGAGAGTGAATGGGGAACTGCCGCAACGTACTGGTCTTGGTCCAATGCCAACACGAGGATGTGCACTAGGTGCCAGAGCCTTGCCTGTGGCAGCTGCCCGTTTATGAGAGCTGCATAGTCTGTCTGTGCCAGATCATTGGCAAACAAGAAAAGCAGCTGCAAGTCGCCCTCCTCTCGAACGTTAAAGGATGAGAGCAGGAGTGGGAAGGCTCGCGGGATCCGCTCCTCGGACGTCACAGAGGTCGACGGGTCAAACAGCTCAGTTAGAGCTTGCCGCCGCCCCGCCTTCACCTGCCGTCTTGTCCGGTGGCCACGCCATGTTCGCTGGATCGATCGTGCGGCCTTGAGCTCCTCGCGTTCCTGTTGGCGTTGCCGGCGGCCGGCTTGGGCATCTGCGACGGTCTTGGAAGCGCCAGAGCCGGTCCCTGGAGATAGCGAGTGCGCTGTGAATGGGTTGGTGTGCCTCTGGCCGCTGAGGTTAACGTTTCGTAGGCGTCTAGAGTTTCCAGAAAATGTCGGGAACATGGCTTCTGCGGCCTGTTTTCTTGTGTGTTTTGACGATCAAGAAACACTGCAGCTCGTTTGCAGCCACCGTCAGGGCTGAAAGATGGTGCAAGCGCGGGGTCCTAGCTCGAGAACAATATGTCAGTTCGGATCGGAGCGAAGGGGAGTCCTAAGGCGTCCTCGAGCGCTGTCGAAGATGCAATGCTGTCCTACAGAGCAACGAGATTTGTAGGAGTCGGTTTGTGACTGCAATGTGAGAATGTCGAGGTTGAGACGACGATTACTGATTACTTGGGAAGGAGGACGGGTTGACGAAACGGGAAGCGACTGCCTGATGTTTTGTTAGGCAGATAAAGCCGCCCTGGCTCATGGTACTTTACAGGCCAGGCAGGTTGGTCCTAACTGCGGGAAGCTGCGGCTGGCACCCACTTGTCCCTGATAGGTAAGAATTGCCTGTCGCGTTCTAGAAAGTTCACCACCCTCAAAGTGAGAGGTTCAGCGTTAGTCAGGAGGCGCTAAGCTGATGTGTCGCCCAGGCCTCGCCAGCGCTTTCTAGTGAACGTCACCGGGA